CCTTCCAAGAAGTCCACTGCAAACAGACGGCTGTCGGGAGAGAGTGGTCAGTGGGAGGGCAGCAAACACGGCGCCTACCTGTCGCCCTGAACGCCAATCAGAGGCTTCTTCTGGAAAATGGCTTTTTTGTCGTCCAATCGGAGCGCGGATTCGATGGTCACTGAGAGCGGCGCCACCGATTGGCCCAACACGTTGGTCACGCGCACAGTGAGCACGGGGTTGGCGGCGGAGAGGGCTGTGGAGCCGAAGTGCGCGACAACGACGGGAATGTGGTGTTTGTTGTCGGCGAAGAGCGAAAGCACAGAAAGGAGTTCTGAAATGCTTTTCGGCGACAAAACGTATTTTCGAGACAACAAATAGTTCGCCATTTTGCGCGCCGTGTCCTGAAGGGGGCACAGAGGGGGTTAGAGGCGGCGCAAGAGTGCGGAGGGACTCACGTGAGTGACGGGAAAGGGTTTGTTGGGTTGGCTTTGCGCCAACCGGTAGACGCCCTGAATGACGGCTGACGTCACGCCGAGTCCGCCCTCGAACTGCACGTATTTGTTGTCCACTTCGTCGGCCATAACCATGACGTCACCGATCTTGTCGACGAATGGCGAGCGATGGGCGGAGTCGGAGAGCTTTGCGGCCAATTGGAAGGCGAGACCGCAGTTGAGAAGCGATTCGTCGCGCTTTAGAGCCGCCAAAAGACTTGTTCCCACTTTCGCCGAATCCCACGCTTTGCCCGCGTTTTGAAGGGCAATGGCCGCGCGATAGATGTCCGCCACCGACGCGTCCGCCGCCGCGAGTGTCGACTCGAGTTTCGGGACATGTTTTGCGGACGAAATCTGGGGAAAAAGTGTTATTTTCGCGGATTTTGCGCTCATTTCTCGAATACCTGACAATTGGAGAGAAGTTTTGAAGAAGACGTCAAATAATAAACGCTTTCAACGGAAAGCTCTTCAGTCGCTGATTGGCTCTTGAGATGCGCACAGATTTCGGCGGAAAACGCGATCTTCTCCTTCAACAGCGTCTGCGCCGACAACGAGTGGTAAATAGTGGCCAACGGGTGGGCGGAGACGTCGGGTGACGTCAGCGCCACCAAAGTCTTCATTCGCTGCAAATCCGCGTCGTTTACGGCTTCAGGCATCGAAGCGACGCAAAGGGCGGCCAAAGAGGCGCCGAAAACGACCAAAAGATGACAAACGAAACGCATCTTCGACCGAAAGACACGTGAGTTGAGAGCGAAACCGAAAAACACTGTTTTCTATGACTTTCTGCGAGTTCTTTGAGTTCAACACAAATGCCTTTCGTTCGCAAAATTCCCTCAAATTTGGGAACAATTCTGACGAAGAGTTCTTTGCGTTCGCGAAGTCTTCCCACTATTTGACGCTTTTTGTCGTTAGTTTTCAATCAGTTTTGCCGACATTTCGTCACTCGGGAGCCGGGAATGGGTTAGCAGTGAGACGGAGGAGTGGGAGGAACGGGAGGGCGAACACGCGAGAGGAAAGTCCTCCCAATCGGTGATTGGATTCGCCGGCGATTCGGAGAAGACTTCGAGAAAAGGCTTTCTTTGACTCGTATTTCGAGAGAAGAGAAGCGAAAAGACGTTTCTTTGACTCGAAAGCCGTTAAAAGCGAAGGAAATGAGAGTTAATTCGGTTTCGAAGCGAATGTTTACAAACCATGACTACTGTTGTCGACCCCCAGAGGGCGCCCCCAACGAGTAAACAACGCCCCCCTCCCCCCGCTCTCTCCCGCGTACGTCTTGTTTGAAGAGTACGCGCATCCTGTCATGAATGACGTGCGCAGGGATTGGAGGCAATGGGACGACAGGGCGGACGATAGGACGACAGGGGAGTCGTCGCGTGTCGTCATTCATGGCGTGAATGGCGTCGAGGAGTGAAACCAAAGGACAGGAAACGAGTGGAAGAAAGAAATGAATTCCAATTATTCGGAGATTTTGAGACTCCGTTCGCAAGAGTTTTACTCGTCTTTGATGTCATTCAACGACAACAACAACTCTCGGGACGTGTCCTCCACTGCCGCGAACCACAATTGGCTTCAAATGAACGCCAACTTCACGCCAATCCTGCGCTCAAACTCGTCGCTCAGTTTAGACCAAAAGTCGCGGACTTTTCACCAAAACTCTCATCAAAATAGCATTCATTTCAACGACTTTCAAGAGCTGAGGGAATGTCGCTTTGGTTCCGACCGCCAGCCGCCGTCCGTCGCGCCCAAGACGTCCAAGTCGTCGACATCGCTGTCGTCGCCGTCGTCCGCCTCGTCGCCCAAGAAGACGCCGAAGACGACGCTGTCGTCCACTGTGTCGACGGCGAGAGCGAAGTCGAGAACCATTTCGTCGATTCATTCGTCGCTTTCCATAAGTAATGAGAATTTGAGTCAAAAGACGAAACAAAAGAAAACCAAAAGTTTGTTCTTCTCGTCCACAACGGCCTCAAAGAGCTCTTCCAAAGACAAACCAAATGACAAACACTCGCCTCCGGGCGACGTCTCCGACGACACGCTCTTTGCCGAAGAGATGGAAAGGCGACGCCGTTTGCGACAACTCTTCATTCATTACGACATTCAGTCGGCACTCAGTTTGGATGAACTCTTCAGAGACGACACGACGACCACAACAGCGACGACACCGACGACAGAACAGACGTCCGGTCCGTCGTCTCTAACGTCATCCAACAGTTCAGAGTCAGTGACAGTGAACGACAGGAATGGCGTCAAAGCGGACGACGACAGCGACGACACGGAAGAGTCTGAAGATCTGTTGGGAAACGAATTGAACAGCAATTCATTGCTCGCCTTTTCGGCCAATTTTCGGAACGAAATCGGAAAAGAATTGGTTTATTGTCTGCAATTGAATCGCGAGAACAGCGCCAACGACGACGACAAGAGTGTCGCCAACAGTCCGTCGTCTCCACGACAGACGCGTCGTCGTCCCCGTCGTCCAACTCATACGCCAGCGCTGGCGCGACAGCTGTCGTGTCTGTCGTCGTTCGACATGTCGTCGGACGCGACGCAGGCGTCGCTGTTGACGATGTGCGGGTCGGGAGGCGTGGGAGGCGTCTGTCCGTTCGCCAAAGACTTTGATTTGGAGGACAAGTGTTTGGAAACAGACTTTGGCGCCGGATATTACTCTAAAGTAAGTTTACGTTATTTGTCGCGCTTTGCTCGCATCGGGTTCTCGACAGACAGCCGTAGAGCCTCCCCAACGCCTTCTGCACTCGAATCTGTGAATAGATTCCATTCAAACGTTTAATTTTGTCTTTTTATCAGTATTTCTACGGCTTTTCGCATCAAAACTGGTTCCAAGTGTTGACCCGAAAGACGACAGACGACACGCAGAAGACGACCAAAACGGCGATCGCTTTAAGTCTTCGCAAAGACTCCAAGGATTTGAAGAAATTTCGACTCATTTTACGAACAAATCATTCGTTGAAAGCATTGAAAGGCTTTTTGAACTTAAATCACTTGAAATCGACGGAAAACGACATGAATTTGAGGTCTCTTTTGGAACTGCTTTTGCCGAAGAAGTGGACAAAAGACGCCGAGTGAGTGTGAAACCAATATTTCATTTACAAGAGTCTGACTGTATTTGTCTACAGATTCGTGTCGACCTGTCGTCTCGGAATAGACGCCAAAAGCGACGATCTTTTGCTCAAATTCGACGAACTCTTGGAAAACAATTGCTTCAAAATCGGCGTCTTATATGCGCGCGACTCGCAGTCCACGGAAGAGGACTTCTATAACAACCGCGAAGTGCGAGACGACGACTTCGACGCCTTTCTGTCGTCCATTGGGACGCGAGTGCGACTCAAGGGCTACAAAGGCTTTCGCGGCGGACTCGACGTCACGACAGACACGACGGGTTCGCACGCCTTTGCGACCACTTTTCGCGGCCGCGAAGTCGTGTATCACGTGATGTCGGAACTGCCCTTTTCGCACAATAATCGGCAGCAACTGCTGCGCAAGCGTCACATCGGGAACGACATCGTGACGATTGTCTTCCAGTCGAAGCACTTTCGCGGAAAGCCTTTCGACCCGTCGCTCATTAGATCCCATTTCCAACACGTCTTCGTCGTCGTGCGGCCGCACCATAACGGCTATCGGGTGGCCGTCGCGCGCCACAAAGACGTCCCGCCGTTCGGACCGCCGCTGAAGGCCTTCTACCGGCGCGAAGAGTTGCGGGACTTCCTGTTGGCCAAAGTGGTGAACGCGGAGAACGCGTGCCACCGGTGCGCCAAATTCAAGCAGATGGCTCTTCGCACGCGCTTCGAGTACCTCAACGACCTCTTCCAGAACTACACGACGCAGACGACAGTGGCGTCGCTCCTGTCGTCGCTGTCGTTCCCGACGTCGTCCTCAACGCAACAATTGATTCAATTCTCGCAGAACTTCAATAAATACTTTTCGCAAATCTTCCCGAAAAAGACGGAAAAGGCGGCGAAGAGTAAGGCGTTGGACACGACTTCGGGCGCCGGCGGCGACGCGCTGTCGCTCTCCAAGACGACGACCGAAGCGAAGAACATTTTCCTCGAGAACGAGCTCTTCTTCGGCGCCAAACTGTACGAAGCGATGGACGACGTGATAGACGACAGACGACGACAGGACGACAACACTGTCGTCACGAGTCGTCTCCGCTGTCACTCATTCCAGGAAACGAAAGACATTCGGCGCGTGAAAGTCCTGTTGTCGCAGAACTGGCTTCTGGTGCTCTCGCGACGCAAAGTCCTATTCGTCGTCCAATTGGAGCAAATCATTGGCTTCTTGTTGACCAATGGGGACAAAGCGCGCGACCATTTGAACGCCAATTGCGTGGAAATCCAACTCAAGATTTACTTCCATTTCGGAGAACTCATTGTTTTGCGCGAACTGTTGGCCGACGCGCACCCGACGGACGCCGAGTCGCGCGACGCAAACATTGAACGCAATTCTCTGCTCTTCGAACTCAAAGCCGATCTCATGACCAAAATCCGGTCGTCGGCGCGCGACGGGGCTCTGCGCACGCGCCAAATGAAGTGCGTGGTGTTGCGGCGGAACGCCCTCTCGTCGGACGCCTCCTTCGGCTTTCACATCCAATCAAAAGCGTTGAATTCGCCGCAAAATCTGTGCGTTTTCGTGACCGAAGTGAACGAACACGCGCTGCGGGTCAATGAACTGCGAAGAGGTCAACGGCTCCTCGAGTTGTGTCACATGTCTCTCATTTCGCTCTCATATCAAGAGATTCTCGACTTCTTGAAGACTTCGCAAACCGTTTCCGTAGCGCTCGTCCAACCGGTCAGTAGTTCTCTCTCAAGTCTATCGCTTTTAACGCTTTTTCCCTTCAGATGCCGGACGGCAGTCCGCGAACCAACGGCTGCTTCAGTGCCTTCTGCGCCGCCGCCGTCCGTCCGCCGCCTCAGGTATGCGCCGAATAGTGTCCACAACTGTGTCTAACCTTCGCCTCCATTGACAGCCAAACCAAACGCCGGTTTCCATTGGCAACGACTACGAAAACATTCAAACGGTTGTCGTTCAGCACAACGCCAGTCCTCAACACGTCGTCCGTCCAGTCGTCGACCGCACGACACCTGTCGTCCTGTCGTCTCTCACGACGACGACACCGACGCCTCCCATGACGCGAAGTCCGCAACACGTGGTGAACGCCGCGTACAACTCGCGACAACACATGTCTCCGACGCACACCACGAGTCACAGTCAGCGACCGCTTCACCTGAAGAGCAATCAGTCGTCGAATCACTTCCAGAACCAAAACGCGTCGAATCACATGTCGTCGCAGTCGTCCACCGCGTCGTCCACTCTTCAGGGTTTGTCTCCACTCTTGTCTCGCATTCCTTCTCATGTCTTGACTTCTCTGCCGACAGAAGACTTAATCAAATTAATAACTCTCAACGATTGCGACGAGACGACAGATCCCGTCGAGTCGTCCGTTCACACCGACAGCCACTCGTCGTCGCGCTATTCGACCGCCACTTCGACGCCCTATTCGTCGCTCGAAAGACCGACGTCTGAAGGACGACGACCGTCGCTGCCGACGACGCCTGCGAGACGACAGCACATGACGACGACAGGCGGCGACGACTGTGTCGTGACTGTCGCCAAACCGGCGTTTGTCGTCAACTCGTCGTCGGCCGTCTTCAAGCGGAAACAACTGCTCGACGACACCATAAACTCGAACGTCCTGTCGATCGCCGACTTGGAGGCGAACGCCGCCAAAGACGACGACGACGACCTCCAGTGGCCGCCACTCGTCATCAGTCATCAGCCGCTGCCGACTGGCGTCCAAGACGTGCGCCTCAAACAACAGGGTCTGTATTTCCGGGTATTTGCGGCGTTTTGACCGCTTTTCTGACGCTTTTCTGATTGCAGTGAAAGAACTGTCGAAAGAAAAGCTTCGTTTGAATGAAACGATTCGTCAGTTGAAAGAAGAGAACCAAAGACTGCACTTCGAGTCGCAGACCGCGAGCCAACAGTTGAGGAAATTCACGGAATGGTTCTTCTCGTCGTCTTCGGGCGACGCGAACGACAACAACGACGACAACAACTCTTAACTCTTTTCAAACTTCTTATTTATTGCAATAAAAAACGTTTTATATTTACCCATAAATAACGTCCAATCGATCGATCGATGAGACAATAAAATGTAAACAAAAAGCGAAGAAATGTCTCAAAAGAGCTTCGCTTCCGAAGAGCCGTCGCTTCCGGCGGCNTCTCGCGACGCAAAGTCCTATTCGTCGTCCAATTGGAGCAAATCATTGGCTTCTTGTTGACCAATGGGGACAAAGCGCGCGACCATTTGAACGCCAATTGCGTGGAAATCCAACTCAAGATTTACTTCCATTTCGGAGAACTCATTGTTTTGCGCGAACTGTTGGCCGACGCGCACCCGACGGACGCCGAGTCGCGCGACGCAAACATTGAACGCAATTCTCTGCTCTTCGAACTCAAAGCCGATCTCATGACCAAAATCCGGTCGTCGGCGCGCGACGGGGCTCTGCGCACACGCCAAATGAAGTGCGTAGTGTTGCGGCGGAACGCCCTCTCGTCGGACGCCTCCTTCGGTTTTCACATCCAATCAAAAGCGTTAAATTCGCCGCAAAATCTGTGCGTTTTCGTGACCGAAGTGAACGAACACGCGCTGCGGGTCAATGAACTGCGAAGAGGTCAACGGCTCCTCGAGTTGTGTCACATGTCTCTCATTTCGCTCTCATATCAAGAGATTCTCGACTTCTTGAAGACTTCGCAAACCGTTTCCGTAGCGCTCGTGCAACCGGTCTGTACTTCTCTCCAAATTTTTTATCGTTTTTTATCGCTTTTCTCTTCAGATGCCGGACGGCAGTCCGCGAACCAACGGCTGCTTCAGTGCCTTCTGCGCCGCCGCCGTCCGTCCGCCGCCTCAGGTATGCCCGAAACGCTCACAACTCTGTCTAACCTTCGCCTCCATTGACAGCCAAACCAAACGCCGGTTTCCATTGGCAACGACTACGAAAACATTCAAACGGTTGTCGTTCAGCACAACGCCAGTCCTCAACACGTCGTCCGTCCAGTCGTCGACCGCACGACACCTGTCGTCCTGTCGTCTCTCACGACGACGACACCGACGCCTCCCATGACGCGCAGTCCGCAACACGTGGTGAACGCCGCGTACGACACGACGCGACTCTCGCGCCAACACATGTCTCCGACGCACACCACGAGTCACAGTCAACGACCGCTTCACCTGAAGAGCAATCAGTCGTCGAATCACTTCCAGAACCAAAACGCGTCGAATCACATGTCGTCGCAGTCGTCCACCGCGTCGTCCACTCTTCAGGGTTTGTCTCCACTCTCGAAATGCCTTTCCTTCTCATGTCTTGACTTCTCTGCCGACAGAAGACTTAATCAAATTAATAACTCTCAACGATTGCGACGAGACGACAGATCCCGTCGAGTCGTCCGTTCACACCGACAGCCACTCGTCGTCGCGCTATTCGACCGCCACTTCGACGCCCTATTCGTCGCTCGAAAGACCGACGTCTGAAGGACGACGACCGTCGCTGCCGACGACGCCTGCGAGACGACAGCACATGACGACCACAGGCGGCGACGACTGTGTCGTGACTGTCGCCAAACCGGCGTTTGTCGTCAACTCGTCGTCGGCCGTCTTCACGCGGAAACAACTGCTCGACGACACCATAAACTCGAACGTCCTGTCGATCGCCGACTTGGAGGCGAACGCCGCCAAAGACGACGACGACGACCTCCAGTGGCCGCCACTCGTCATCAGTCATCAGCCGCTGCCGACTGGCGTCCAAGACGTGCGCCTCAAACAACAGGGTCTGTATTTCCGGGTATTTGCGGCGTTTTGACCGCTTTTCTGACGCTTTTCTGATTGCAGTGAAAGAACTGTCGAAAGAAAAACTTCGTTTGAATGAAACGATTCGTCAGTTGAAAGAAGAGAACCAAAGACTGCACTTCGAGTCGCAGACCGCGAGCCAACAGTTGAGGAAATTCACGGAATGGTTCTTCTCGTCGTCTTCGGGCGACGCGAACGACAACAACGACGACAACAACTCTTAACTCTTTTCAAACTTCTTATTTATTGCAATAAAAAACGTTTTATATTTACCCATAAATAACGTCCAATCGATCGATCGATGAGACAATAAAATGTAAACAAAAAGCGAAGAAATGTCTCAAAAGAGCTTCGCTTCCGAAGAGCCGTCGCTTCCGGCGGCCCACCTCTGCTTCCACGGTCTCATTGAGCGCCGGGAGGCCGAGCGCCGACTCCTCGACGCCAACCAAGAGAACTGCTTTCTTGTGCGCGAATCCAAAGCGAGTTCTTCGCCCCAGAAGTGGTTCGTGTTGTCGTTCTTCGGCCGCAAGTCAGGCGTCAATCACTTCCGCGTTCAGCACTTCTGTCAACACTTTTACATCGGATCCAAAGCTTTCCCCACTTTAGACGCTTTGATCCGTTTCTACCACTTCTCGGATCTCTTGCGCGGCGAACGCCTGCAGAACGCCGTCGCGCCCAAAGAGCCCGTCGCCGACTCCGCGGCCGCCGCCCGCCGTCTCGTCGCAGTCCTGCCGTACGCCAAGATTCCCGACTCCGACGAACTCTCCTTCAAAAAGGGCGACCTTTTCGTCGTCCACAACGACCTGCAGAACGGCTGGTCTGTCGTCTCTGTCGTCGTGTTTGTCGTCTGTATCTCACACTCTCTCCCATAGGCTCTGGTGTACGAACGACCGGACGCTCGAATCGGGACTGGTTTTCGCGGAACTCTTGGAGACAGTGGACGACAAGTGCGACGAAAACGAAACTCACGAATGGTTTCACTCGAAGATCACGAAAGAGGAAGCCGTCGACCGCTTGGCGAAGGCTGGCGTCGGCTCTTTCCTCGTGCGGCCGTCGGACACGCAGGCGGGCAACTACTCCCTCTTCTTCCACATCGGACACTCTGTGCAGCGCTTCCGCATTGAGCGCCGCGGAGACCGCTATGTGATGGGCG